TAGAATAATTTTTAAAAGAAATATTGATGTATTTCAAGTATATGCAACACTATAACCTAATTGCTAACAATGTGTTTCAGAATGAGTCCTGTTTTTATTCATTTGCATAATTGATTTTAAAATTCTTTTTTGGGGGGGCTGAGGAAGATTGGCCCTGAGCTAACATCTATGCCAATCTTCCTCTATTTTGTACATGGGATGCCACCACAGCATGGCTTGATGAGTGGTGTAGGTCCATACCCAGGAGGTGAACCCACAAACTCAGGCCACCAAAGCAGAGTGTACCAAACTTAACCACTATTCCACCAGGCCAGCCCTTAAAATTCTTTTTTTAATTAGTAGCGTCATTTATTTATACATAGCTTACAAATATTTATGGTGTTCTGACTACGTGTCTGCCACGGTCTGCCAAGGTCTCTCTTCTCAGAGATCTTAGCTTCCAGTTTAAGAAATGAGGCCAGTTGAGACAAAATAATTAATATAGGAAAGTCCTTAAAGAATGTGAGTTCTCTTAAATAGGTTAAATAGTACCTGAATTCTTAGTTACGTGACAGTTATTTTTGCTCAGAAAATTAGTTCTTTTAAGATGATTAAATGTTAGAGCTCAGTCCAAGTTCAGTTGAATGATCAGGGTTAGTAGCTCCCTCTTGCAGGCTTTCTCCAGCATTTTCTTCAAATATCAATTATAACTGTGTTGTAATCCATGAAATTTCATGTTAGTTTTGTCCTATGATCTCCTTGAGACTCCTTAAACTATCCTCATATGTAGGGCTTAGTACAATGACTAGCACATAAGAGATCTTCAGTAAAGAAAAATGTCTTTAGTGAATGCTTTATTTGCCCCCTTTCCCTCTTATTGCATATACTATATGGTACATTAAAATCTGCGTTGGGAAGCCTAGAAATTGTGAGAATTTGATCAAGTCGCTTAAGCTCTGTTTCTCATATCCTCATTTGCTATTTCCAGATTCCCAATTCTGTAAGCCATTCTGGTTATTTCAACTTGGCAGACAGTTATTTTGCACCTTCTCTGAGGAATAATTTGTTATTTATTTGCTCATTCATAGTCTAGCTAGTGCTCTTCATGTGACAATGATCCTGATATTGAGAGCATCTTACTTCCTTTTTTTCATGTTTCCAAAGGAACAAAGAAAGATTATCTCTAAATTTCATTGTCTGCAATGATTTTTTAAATGACATCCTAGACCACATCTTGGGAGTGGAAACAATTGGTCAGGACTCCAAAATTTGTATGAAGAACCAAAATATTTTAAATCCACCTTGTCTGCTGAATAGTAGAACCCTAGGAAGACAGATAAATTTGAAATCCATTCCTGGGCATTTATGACTTCAAATTTTAGAGAATTCCCATCATGTGGACCTTATAATGATTTATATTCATATGTTTGGGTCTTTTCCATGTGCAAGTTTCCATTGTGGACTCAAGTTAGAATCCCTTTGGATCCCTAAGAATCACTTCTATCTCTGATACTTACGATGAAGAAATTCAAGAGCTTCTGGTGAGCAATGAGGGGATTGGCTGACCATAGAAGGCTCAGTGACACACTATATGCTGACAAAGGAAAACAGTCATTGTCAGTGCTGTCCAGCCCATCAAGAAAATGACTTTACTAAGAGAAGCTGGCTTGTATCATCATATGGTGATTGTAGACATGTGGCTATATGTAACATTCTAATATTAGGAAAAATATAGACCAAGGAAATTTGGCACAAATAGAAATAATACTTTTCCTGATTTTGATTTATTTTTATTACTGAAAACATGAACTAAGTGAGATAAATCTTTGATTTCCTCTGTTAATGGTAAGGAGTCTTAGAAAGCCTAAAACTCACTTTCCCCTGGGTAGGAATTCATTTTGGCTGCCTTTTTGGTTATAATTATTGTAGACTAACACTATTTCTCATTTTCCTAGCCTTCAGCAAGGACGAAAAACATAGTATTAATTCACATACACACAGAGAATTATAAAAGAGCACATTTTTATGCAATGAAACATAATGTTTTTCCACATTTTTGTAATGGGATTCCAGTATGATTGTTCCAATGAATCCAGTAGTGAAATACTTTTGATGTTTCGCTAACTAACTCTCTTGAGTAAGAAGTCTGACTTTAATTCTATAGCAAATATATAAGATCTCTAGTTATAGAGTTTTGCCTTAATGTCAAGTTTCTTCGGCTCAATTGTTACTGTTTTTAAGGTTGTCATTGGAAGCTCTTTCTGCCTCATAGTTCATACATTTTTTCGTTCATTCATCCTTTCACTTGTGGAATCATTCGTGGCATCCAGCCCCTCTAGGCAATGTAGTTTCCCAGACATGGGGATACAGCAGTGAAGGATGATACTCCCCATTTTAATGTTTGCCAGCAGTTGGGAAATGAAAGGTTTTCATCCATGAACTAGCTGCCCTGAGCTTTAAAGTCAAGTAAAACCAAGTCAACAAGTTCTTGTTAAACACATATGTGCTCTGTACCAAGTCCCCAAGGTTAGCCAGTTTAAAAGTTCTGACAAATCTGGGGCTAAATGTGGCAGGCATTGCTGTCACTCTGCGTGTGGTTGTTTCACTATTTTACAGAACCTCCCGGAAACATCCAACATCTGAGAAAAGATCCAAGACTTCCATTCCCTGGGAAAACTCAAAACTTACATTATCTCAGTTATCTCAACCTCTAAACGCAATAGCCTGCAACTCAGGGATGTCTAACGCTCTAAAACAAAAGGGTACCTTCCCTTTGTTAAAAACAATAATAAAGTGGGGTAGATTTTACCACCAGAGGACAAGAACATTAACACATTCCTTGGTTTGTTTTTGTGGAGGAAGATTAGCCCTGAGTTAACATCTGCCGCCAATCCTCCTCTTTTTGCTGAGGAAGATTGACCTGAGCTAGCATCTGCACCAGTCTTCCTCTACCTTGTATGTGGGACACCTGCCTCAGCATGGCTTAGTAAGTAGTGCGTAGGTCCGCATTCAGAATCCAAACCGGTGAACCCCAGGCCGCCGAAGCAGAGTGCACGAACTAAACTGCTACGCCTCTGGGCCAGCCCCCAACATAGTCTTGATTATTCATAGACAAAGTGTAAAATTCATATTACGTAAACCTGAGAAGGCACTCTCAAGCAGAATCCATTTTTCCTTCTACTACATCAAAGAAAGTTTTATTTAATTCCAATCAAGTAGATACACTGAATTCTTCAGCAAACAATGTTGAGAAATTCTGGCAGCTCGAGGATAAATTCCTGTCCTCAAGAAAGCACAGCAGAAGGACCAACATCCAAAATTTCCCATCAAAAGAGACAATAGGATCTAGAACAGGGGTCTGTAAACCTTTTCTGTGAAAGCCCAGCATGTAAATATCTTAGGCTTTGTAGGCGGTATGGTATGGCCTCTGTCACAGTTACTCAACTCTGCCTTTGAGGAGTGACAGCAGCCACAGACAACATATTAATAAATAATCATGACTGTGTTCTAGTAAAATGTTATTTACGAAAACAGGCAGCTGGCCAAATTTGGCTCACAAGCCATAGTTTGCCACCCCCGATCTAGGTAGATCTGTATTTTGAGCGAAGGTAACATGTCTCATTTATTTAGGTTCTTATTTCTATTTTATGTCCTATCACATATTAAAATAAACATAGGCATATACGTTAAATAGTGAAAGAGATGGTCTTCATTTTCATCAGAGATCATTTGTGATAAAGATCTCCTGATGAAGGATAGCCTCAGAAACATAATATATACCCAAATAAATGCTATTTTTTCCTATGTTGATAAACTTTCAATCACTCTGTACATCATACATCATTACCCATTGCCTTATAGAATAGTAAGTGCAATTTAAATTTTTCTTATTGTTTTTGCATAGTCTTTCTGAGCTGAGATGTTCTCAGGGGCACTTGAAGTATCCAGGGGTGTATGTCAGCAGTGATTCTCCAGCTGCTATGTCTGTTACCACTACCTTCTAGATCAGCTGTCAGTGTCACTGTTCTCTTTTCCTGTGTCCATACTTCCTGCCACCATAGCCCCATGCATGAAATCTGCTCTCTACTGAAGAACTGAGTTCTGATTGAAAGATCCAGAAAACCTGGTTTCTGGAGTCACATAAGAAGTCACAATAAACCCAATATTAAATGTCCAGCCCTTTGAAGGAGGGCTGCATTCCTCTTCTGGGGACAGAGACTTTACATAGGCTATTTTCCACAATACTCAGAAGCTTGGTTGCTTGTTTCTTGTTTTTTGGCTAGGTTCCAAAGCATTGAAGTTACTAGAAATCTGGTTAACAGGTCAATGGGGAGTTTACCTAGTGTACTAATACCTCTGTTTCCCAAGTTGTTTATTTGGAAAAACTGATATGAGAATTTTCCTTTCTTTATTGATTTTGCTGCTTAAAATTTACCCTACTCCATATTCTGCTTACCTCTCGCTAACTTTGTCTTGGTCAATTTAGCACAATGGATCTCAAGCCCAGACCATATAAGAGTCATCTAGGGGAGCATTGGGAAGATGCCAAACCCTAGGTCTCCACCCTGTGGAGTGTTCTAAGCATTTGCTTTGGGAGACAGAGAACAGGCATTAGTCATTTTTGGTTTTGTTTTGTTTCATTTTAAGATTCTCAAGTTAATCAAGGGCTAAGAATCGCTGGTCTGTGTAAGGGATCAAATGAGGAGTGGTTTACACTGAGACTCCTCTTTCTATTTTGAAATTTAACACATAGAAATTTAACACATGATATATGTGGGTAAAGTCCAAGGACTTTAACTTGCTCTTCTTTGAAAAGTGCCCTGCAAGTTTAATCCCAAGTGGCTGCATTTCGAAATATATACTTTTTTGGATGATTTCACTGTGTGGAAATGTAGTACGGCGTTAGCCGTCAGAGTTGAGATTTTTCATTCTCTTCTCCTCAGTCGACTATTGCTTCTTAAATGACTGTTTTTGATAACTGTGAAGCCACATCATTGTTACCGTCTTTCTCTTGTTCATAGCACCAGAAGAATGGGCCACAAGCCGCTCCAGCCTGAAGGCACCGCCGCCAAGGTCAGCCAGAGGGGGATACAGGGAGCACCCCTATGGTAGATATTGAAGGTCTCCTCACCGTGACCTCACCTCAAAGACAATTCATAGCCTGTGGTCTCCACATAAACAGCAACGAGACAAGTAATAGTCCTTTTTTTTTTCTATTCTAGGGGTAACTGCTCATGATTACTCCCATATATTTCTTGTATTTCCCCCTATACTGTTGGCGTGACATTGACACTAGTATTATTTTACAACGGACTAAAACAAAGACATTGGCAAGCGTTGTCTATAAACCACTCAGTAGGATGATATTCTCATGGTTGTTTTTCATTGTTGTGTGTAATCTTTATTTTTCTTTTTTTTTCTTTGAGAAAGAGCATGAATCTGTTAGCAGATTTTGAGTCTCAATCAACTAGTAAAAACTTTGTTTAGGGTTGCTAAAATACTGTAATATGATTTTTGAACTAGCTGATAATAAAGTTGTAGATAAGATGTTTTAACCTGTCTTTTAATATCTGTTAGTTAGATGAAGATGTTCGATATTAAGTTTGTAAATTTAATTTTAAATGCTGTTTTAATGGGGTTGAAAACAAGCAGCTACTGTATGTATGTAGCTAACTGAATTTGTTCAGTGTTTTAACCTGTATTTGTTAAAAAAGAAAAAAAACACACATAAAGTTCCATGTGTAAGCTTCTCTAAATAGGAAACCACAATTTGTCAAATATGTTTGCCATAATTTGTCAATAAAGCTGAAAACTTTTGTAAAAACTAAATTTGGAATTACTTGTTTTCTAGCTTTAAATGCCTGCTTTATTTCTTCTTCAAGAGATGCCTAAAATGTTTTCTATTTAAAAATTACAAAAATGAACCCAAGCCTGTTTTAAGATATTTGTGTAATACTTAAAAAATGTATTAATAACTTATGGTTGTTAAATAATTTAAAAGTTAACAAACTAAACTGTTACATGAATCATGGTTAGTAAACACTAATGTATAACATGTTAATGGAAAAAAATGGATTTAGACTAATAAATGGATTTTAAACTATCCTCTAAGCTTTATCTTGCTAAACACAAATTCTGATTGACTTGTTTGCATTAGCATGTCTCTCGTGAGAAAGAGTAATGGAGTATAAAGAGGTAAGATTACCACTTACCACTGTCTAAATGCCTAGTTCTTCAACCTTTGAGTTTCCCCGCACATTAAATATCCCATCCAACATGTAAGCATCGCGTAGATTCACCTTATTGTTTTCACTCAAAGGAGTGCGTGGACTTCATTTGCGTAGTTGATGACAATTTGTTTTGACAAACAAATCATCAGTGTCACTGGCCAGTTGTTGCTATTCAACCTCAAAAACTTTATTTGTAATTTTCAGTGCTAAATATCACCGCCCTTGAAGGCAGTTTAGAGGGCTGATATTTCTTTTGAGACTATCAGACTTGATGGCTGATGATTATTAAGGAAATATGTCGCAGGACTCAAAGGATGACTAAACGTTAAACAGGTAACACTAACAGTAACTCTGTAATTTTGCAACAGTAATGTTAAATATTCTCCGTTATTAAGTTCCTGATAGTTAAAAAAGTAAACCTACAAAAACATAACAAATAGGTCTATAGGTTATTAAAACAACTAATTAACATTAACTAGAGGCACCAAAATTATTTTACAATATATAACCCTCAAGGTAATAAACAGAACTAAAATTAACAATAATAGTAATGCAACTCTTGCTAACATCAAACGTAAGCTAAATTTTGATGGAAAAAAGAAAGTGAAAGACTTGATGGTAGGGATGAATGCCAAAACTGTTAATCTTGTAAATACAGTTTTTTTGTTTCTGGTGGCTTTTGTCGATGTGATTGGTTTACTTTTTTGCTGCTAACCAGCTTAGGCACATTGCTGTTCAGTTCTTGCAGCTGGAGTTGCATGCTAATAGTTTTATGAAGTATGTGTCTGTCGTTAATTAAAATTGTAAATATTTGCCTTTCGCAAAATGCTGTCGAGTTATATTTAATTTTCTTTTTTTATTCTTTCTCACTATTTCAGGTACACACAAGCAAAGAGCACATAATTGAATGGCAGATGCGATGGGCCAAGAAAGATAGAGGTAAGCTTATTTTTGATCTACTCTGAAATAGATACTCGTTACCAACCAGAAGCTATGGCAGTGAGCTAAACACCAAATGACCCTGTTGAAATACTGAAACGGTTGAGATTGTTGTCAAAGAACTGAGTTATTTTTATCTTCTTTGAAATAAAGTGATCTAACTTGCTATTTACCTGGCAAGGCTTTCTGAGCTTATTCAGAAGCTTGTCAAAGGAAATGTGAATTAGTGGTTAATCTTCAGCCCTTTTCTTTGCTATGAACTACGATATATTACCTCTCCTTACTTGTACAAAGAAAGAATATTAAAACTTCTACTCTGCGATCAAGAGAAGAAAATCACATTTGTCAGGTGAGATGGAGGGACGGGAAAGGGAACCCCATAACCAACCCCTTGCCTACCCTTTGTCAATGAGATAATGTATTAACATTTATTTGGTCAAATAAAATAAACATTACCATTATTCTCCCCATTGATCTCACCATATTTATCCCTAACTTTTTCCTCATCTGCCATTCGCACACAGGGAGTTGAAAACCTTAGCCAGTAAACCTCAGACTGAAAACAGCGCCAGGGCAGTTACGAAGTCCACAGACTGACCTGACACTTAGAATTGAAATGGCCTTGCCACGACGTTTGAAACAGGGCTAAAAACCCAAGTTTTCTCCTTTTGGATCTGGCTTTCTTTTTCCTACACAAATATGGCCTTTAGAGAAGTGCCACAGGAGAGGTCTGAGAGAGCCTGGAGCTTCCTTATGACTGGAGGTAGGACAGAGACTGGGGGACCTTTGCGGGTGGACTGGAATGCAGGGGGTAGCCTGTCCGTGAGGAGGAAGGGAGCACCGCCTGGTGAGGGGAATAGGCTGCGTCAACTCAGGAAGTGTTTGAGAGAAAGGAGAAGGTCAGTGAGTCCTGAGGGCCAGATTCAGAAAGGTGCAGAGCGAAAGCAGAGCCTGGAGAGGTGAGCCGCATCAGCTCCCAGTTGGCCCTGAGTACTGTGTTAAAGCATTCAGATTTTATGGGAACAATAAAATGAAGCCGCTGTAGGTTTGAAGTAAAGAATGAGAGCTATTCCTAAGGAAACCATCACAAGCAACCAGGGAAAACCTCACATTTAGTCATTTTTACAATTACCAACTGCCTCTTCATCCAAGATAGCTTTTCTAAAATTCAAACTGTTAAAATAGTTATTTAATACCACATGTGCTTCAACTCATCAAGTCCCTTTGTTAAGCCGCAGAATCAAAGATTGAAAGTTATAAAGAATGCAATTCTCAAATTTTATTTATCAGTAACATTCCTTATCTGATTTGAGTCTTAAAAATGTTACAGTTTTTATAAGGCAAGGAAAGGGAGAATCTCTAATCCAGATATCTTGCATATTTTTCTCCTTTGATCCTTTGCAAACAATAAGCTTGAGCTTGTAATGAAAGAGAAAGCGGTCACAGTTTGTTACTATTTTGATATATTAATCAATATTTTTGGATCCATTGTACTTATTTTATTGTTACTGTTTTTATTGTTTTATAATCCTGTGGATCTCTTACCATTCAGACGAGATCTTTGATTGCATTAACTCAGGGCGGAGCTATCACAGCCGAAACCCCAGTGCTGAACACGAGACGAGAACCTTCTTGACTTTTGTGTTTAAAAGTCAGAGTTCTTAAAGCTCAAAAACAATGATTTGTGAGAAAGGGGATTTTGAGCTTCAAAAGCCTGCATTTTGAGTAACATGACTCTGATGGACTTTGGACATAAAGTGTGTGTGTTAACAGTATATTTAAAAGACTCTCATTCAAAAATTAATTACTTAATAAAAGTCTCCCATCCACCTGCCTCCGTGCATCTACAAGATAAGATTGTCCAGCATAAGAAGAGAGCTCCAGAGGCAGCAATATCTGATATAGTGGTGTAAGATGTTAGTGTGGCCTTGAGTATGGGGTCTGTGCACCGTTATCAGTTACCCAACAGAAGCCTCAGCTAGGCTTGGAACACAGAGGGGACCTTTGTCTCAGCGGCACCCGGGAAGGCAGCGAGCTTCACCAAGTCCCCCCACCAGTGTGATCCATGTGCAGTCCTGTAGAACAATGTTTCTTTAGAATGTTTCTCCATCCTGGCAAGTGTGGAGCGGGTGTGGCAGAGACAGCCACACACATTCGCCTCTGCAGGAAGGCAGGGCATGGTGCCGTAGCATTGGCATGGACCAACACTGACCAGGATCCTGATGGATCAGTGGACACAACGTGGAAAGGTGAGAAGATATCTGCTCCCTGCCACCAACACCCAGGAAAGAGAGGGGGAAAATAAATCCCCGAATTGATAGAGGAACACCTGATGAAAATTAATCTGAATTGACTGAGATTATTTTTCTCCACCTGGGAGAATGGGGACTTGAGACTGAAATCAAGCTGAGGTATAGAAAAATATAACCGTATACTCATTGTAGTCACTTATTGCATAACTTGCTTGACTCTTCATCAGAAATGAATACAGTAGGTTTCTCTGGCAACAGGGAATGAGAATTTCCGTAAGTTAGCGACCTCTTGGCAGAAACGTTTGATGGAATGAAAACTGTTCAGAGAGTGGTCCTAACTAATGAACATCTGCCCTGTCACAGATGCCTTCTTCTCTTGACAGTTTCAGAGAGTGATGCTGGGTCCCATTTGGATCCCCTCATGACATAATGTCTGTTCTCACAAATTTCAAAGTTCTGGCTCCCAAAGATAGCAGAAGAGGTAACTTGCCACTTCGGCATTGTCTGTACAAACATTGTCATGTCTGACATCCACCTCATGCAAGTCACATAAACTTGAATGGCAAATTAGGATTTTTAAATTACAGTACATTCCATCTAAGTGTAGTTTGAAGTCATCCGTGCACATGCTCCGTACACTTGTTCAGATAATATTGTAACTCTTGATACACTACTGAGCCTATGTCAGCGGAGAACTCACCAAAACACCGAAGGTAGCTAGCTTGGGCACTAAACAAAGCATTTTAAATAGTAGTAATAACATTAATAAGTAAGAAAGTCTTTGTGCCTGCTAACATTTGTCCAACAAAAAGTTTTACTACACTCAAGTATGATTCAATCAGAATCAGTTTGATGCCATTTAAGAAACCAAATAATGCTTGAAGGTCTTATTTGTAATACTTAGATAATTTTCACTTTCAGTATGTTAATGGAACTAAGGCTATTTCCCTTAATGACAATTGAAGCACTAACAGTTTTTAAATAAATTTGGCACAGAATGACATATTAAAGGTTCTCATGAATTCTTCTAAAGGAAATAGTTTTTTAAAGTATATTGGTAAAATATTATTCTTGGGCATTTAGTTCTTCACTTAAAAATATATAGACTGGTTTTTTGAAAACCACAAATGCCCCCTTAAAATGTAACCCTTTTAATATATAGCATTCTCTCTCTCTTTATCTCTATGTCTCTTGGTTAACATAATAATACCAGTTTGTAGGATTTTTTTTTTAAGGGAACAGAGAAGAGTGATCAGTGATCAGTAATCTGAGTTCGCCAAATATCAAGAGTGAGTCTCTGTATCAAGGAGCCTCCTGTTACTGAAAATCCCATCCATTGCGGGGTTCATGGGAAGGTTCCAGTTTTCACTACAAAACGTTATGTAGCACATGACTGAAAATGCCCAACTGTAGGGTAATTTACAAAAGTGATTACGTGATTTCTGTTTAGTGTGAGGGTATAGTATTAATAGTAATAACAATGCTAACAGTGGGGCCATCTGTTTTCTGAACATACTGCCAGGCAAAGTACCATAGTTTTCACATAAAAACCTACATGAAACATCTGTAATCCTTATAACAAGCTTGCAAAGGAAGTACAATGAACTGCATTTTACAGAAGAGGAAGTTGAAGTCCAGAGCTTTAACTAATGTCACACTGCTAATACATAGCAAAGCCAGTATTTAAAACAAAGTTTGATAATCTACACATTTTCCAAAATGCTATAGTGATTACCAACTTTGCATGAATTTGATTGAAAAGAGAATCCAAAATCTCAGATAGCCTTAACATAATTTCTGTTCTGCAGCAATATGACGAATATTGACTAAAAATATGATTGGTAAAATATTTTAACTTGACATGCATCTTTGCTTTGATCTTCCCTCAAATTTGTCATTCTTTCAAAAGTTCTGATTCCATCATTGAAAAATGTAAATGAAGGTATCCCACATTTGTCATAAAGCATGACTACAGCCTTTCGTAGAACAAATGAATTCATTTATAATCTAAATGCCATTTGACTTTAAAAAAAAACACTCGCATGATTAAATAAGCATGAAAGCAATTTCAGGCTTTTATTCTTCCATCGATAAATCAGAACTCTGCTTTAAAGTAGGAGAGTCAATTTCAAACCAGAAATATCTTTGTATAAGCCATGCAGTTGTGTGTTAAGAGCACAATGTGAGGGTGTCGCTCAATGTTAAATATTTTAAAACAAAGTATTTCCTGTTGCCAATGTAATGTGTAACATTTGTCTGGATATTCTAGTTGCCCATTAAAACATCTGAGTTAGCAGTAAGACAGCTCTTCTTGTTGGCTGCCAGGCACCAGTCTTCCATATTCATCATAAAGTTTAATTTCATAGTCTCTTTACATGGAATTTATTAATTGGTACTCAAAAGATTATTTACAGTAGAGGGAAAAGGTCACTCTACTTGATATGCTGTTTTATATATATATATCAGTCACCCACATTTTATTGTGAAAGGAACTGAGAGGAAGCTGCCTGATTCAAACACCACTGGATGCCTTAACAACAGCCAACTTGTCTTCCTTTACCAAAAAAGTGCAAAATAAGACATCTTAAAAATTGGTAATGAGTTCCTGAATGCTAGTTTTGTTCAAGTTTCTGTTCCACCGTGTTTCATACTTCACAGGGGGATATAGCGAAGGACCTATTTTCAAGAGAAATTTGGACAGTCTTGGATCCTCTTCTTAGACCCTCTCTGGAAGCAAATGTCACCACTAGATGCACATTTCCCGTCACCCTGATGCATCTCAGGGTGACTTCCATCACTAGGAGAATGTCCCCTCCCCTCTGTCTCGTTCTTTGCGCTAACACAGGTGGACTGTGTTTCCTATATTCTAAACTCATAGGCTGCCTTTTCTGACACCAGGACATTTTTCAGCTTGTCTGATACCGTCTTGCCCCTCCTTTCACAGTGTCTTCTGTCATTTTCCCAACTGCACAAGGGGATAACAGAAGACAAAGAGAAAGGCAGCTGATGACTGTAGGGGAGCGAGCACTGTCCAATCTATTCGACGGAGCCCCTGCGTTAAGAAACGCTTGTTGTGTTAGTTATGAAACCAATACATGTCTATTGTAAACCAAAAAGTATGAAAAGAGAAAAATTGCATTTAATTAAAATGAATAAATGATAACTGTTAACATTTATATATAACCTCCTCGTTACAAAATCGTGATTTCTCAGCTATAAAGTATAAGAGGCGGCAGTAGGTGAGAAAATGTCTCCAATTAATCTAAGTTCTCCAGTCTCAAAGTATAAAGCTTAAAATTAGAAATAACTAAGCTTATGGAATTCACTAAGATCAATGCATAAAATCTGTGAGCAGAATAAAGCCAATTTTAAATGTCTTCAAACAGGGAAGATTATAGTTACATTTTGCATAAAGACAATCTTCCTAATGGAATTAACATTGAATTTTTAAACTATTTCTTTCAACTTTCCTTTTAGTGGTTTAAGAATATAAATTTATTGACCAGTAGATAATTATTTAGAAGTAATATTAGATATGCTGCTTTGTGCTTTCTTATAAGGCAGCAATCTTTAAAACAAGTAATACCACTTTCCATCAGAGAAACTTCTCTGGAAGCCTTTTATCATTGGTAATCTTTTAACTTCTTAAAGACCTTTATTTCATTTCTAGTGAGTAAATCATTCAGGCACAAATAATGGTTGTCTTAAAATATGGCAGAATTGTCAGTGAATTGGTATTTTGGGAGGAGGAATTCTTTTTTTATAGCCTGTCTCCTTTTTTGTTAATTACAAAAGTAATCCATGCTCAGGATTTAAAGAATGACAATGTATAATGTAAATATGCAATGTAAAAACCCAAAGTCTGTAATCCGACCCCTCAGAGGATGTTCTTTCTGATTTTGTTTCTCTTCCTTTCCCTCTTTCCTTCCTCCGTTCCTCAGCTGCTTGTTACTTATTTATTCATTTGAAATGGGATTCTGCTGTACACGCATATGCAATTTTAATTTTCGGAAATGAGGTGAATTTTGTTTCTTTGTGACAAAATGAGCTAATACCCACTTACACCGGGTGATCTGTGTGTGGAGGATTAAATCGCGGTGTGATCATTTCCCTGTAAAACTGTAACCCTCAGGACGCGCTCTGGAGTGTGAGCAAAGCCACTTGAAGTTTTCAAGCTTCCGTTTTCTTATAGGTAAAACGGGGATAATAATCACACCTACTCACAGAATTGTGAGGTGTGTAAAGTAACATCATACAGGAGTGTGTATATCCTCCCCAAATTTAGTTAATATTCTCACCCAAATTATTTTTCCTTGACAAAAAATTTTAAGATACCTTCACGGTGTGTATCAAAAGTGTAAATGAAAGCTAGTTTAATCCACAAAATATTCATATTATCCAAACCACTTTGCAGCCTACACATTTTTAAAATATTCTTTACTAAAATATTCAGCTAATGTAGGCTTTAGAAAACAGTTGCAGAAATGCTCGTCATTATATTCATAAGCAAACATCTTGGGTATCTTCATAACAGGTATTATAAGACATGTTTATACACAAGAACCTTATAATAATGTTGTACATATATTGTTCACATTGAAATAGGACTAAAGATGAAAGTGAGACTAACAATAATTTGGTAAAACTGTTTCAATAAGAAGAAGAAGGTGCAGAAAATGCATGTGCAGTAATAGAATGCATAATCCATGTGACGGACTCTATTAAGTGTTTTTATGAATTACTTTATATATTTTCTTGGCAATCCTACAATAAAAGTTCTAGGGCATCCTCACTTCCTAAATGAGAAAACTGAGTCTGAGAAAGGAGAAGTAACCTTCCCAAGGTCACATCGGGCAGTGGGGTGGACTCTAAGCCCAGGCTGTCACAATCAGAGACCTCATCCTTAACCCCTGCAGACTACCATCCCCTCTGACTGATGACAAAGTTTGGTGGTAAACTAAGTTTGAGAGGGAACCAAAATGTAAATATGTAATTCATTCTTCAAGCTAGGAAAAAGAAATTTGAGGAAATTCTCTTACTATGAATATTGCCAAGATCAGTAGTACAAACTTTAAAGACTGATACTAAATTTCTAAACACCTCTACACGCATAAGCCAAAATATTCAGAATATCTTTTCACCCTGAATTACCTAGAAAGTGCCTTGTATAATAATTCTAAATTCTGTATAGGTTGTGCCTGGCTCTATTGATATGACCACCTGACCACTGATTAAATGGAAGCCGTGTGTATCTAAGTATAGAACTTAGCCTTCATGGAGGTTGGGATATACTAAGTAACAAAATAACAAAAACATCAAAGAGTAAAAATAAACTAGAAAGATATATTTCTAGAAAAATAGTCATGGTTACTTTCTCTTATTTGTTTACTAGTGGCATGCTCTATTGTACTGACTTGTCCCAATCCATGTGATTGCAAAAATAAAATGCAGTTTTCCTTTACTATCTCTTGTCTCTATATAGATACATATATAGGTACAACATATAGATATATGTCCTATATAGATACAATAATAATACACATTATTGAAATGTATTTTATACTTTATTATACTTAATAATAGGACACCAGAACAAAAGTGACCATGAAAATAAGAAAAGACATAGATTTAGAAAGAAAAGGAATGTAGCCAGAAGGCTGAGAAAGATGCATTAGAAGTGGTAAGATGAAACATCAATATGAGAAAGAGAAGCTGGACCACCCCTTGCAAACTTCAAGGAATGTAATGTCCTGAGATCTAAAAGTTCCCATAAATTACCGTCATGTGCAACTTATCACATAAGGCAGTAACTTTAGAAATTAAAAATACGCCTCCCCTTTATGGCAAACACAGGACATTCTGCTATTGACTGCAGCTGGAGCTTCACTTGTCTGTTCCAGAGCAATTGCTTTCATAGATCATTCCGTTTTCCCTTCACTTCCACCAGCAGATTTTTTTTCCCATTTCAGAAAATTTCTTTGGTGAGTAAGGAACAAAAATTTGCACCAACCTCTCACAGTGTACATTAGTTGAAATTTGTACTTTTAGAAAAATGCTGCATATCATGCACCTTCAGAATTGTTCAGGGATATTAAAATATAAGAGTACTAACTCTATGAATTCCAAGCATATGCCAAAGTAATTTTATCACATTGCTTTACAATGATATTGATGTTTGAGAGATACTGTGCTCCAACCTACACTTTAAGAAGCCTGTAGTTTGGAAAACCATATACTGTGAGTAAAAAATAGACCCTGTCGGAAGCATTAACTCTATAAGACTCTCAATAATAAAAGATGCTTATTTATAATATTTAGATTATTAGGATGATGTCTAACATAGGATATTATAAAAGGTTAATTACTAATAAGTAAAACTTAATGATGAGTTGATTTGCTTGTTCAGAAGTAGGAGACCATTAATTAATTCTCTCAGGATTTAAGTCCAAGGTGTTTTGTGTATTTTAAGTAACATTCAGATGATTTACTGAACCCACGTAGTTTTCCATCCCTAATTTACCAGTTCCTTACATCACTCGAGGAAACACTTTAACCTGCAAATGAGACTAGAAATGATAGGCTGGGACTAAGTGAAACAGGTTCAAAAGAAAGTGGCCGTATGACAATTTACAGCTAAAAGATATTCAGTGGATGCCAAATAGTCTGCTGAGCTAGTCACATAAGGAAAAATGTCATCAAGCAAAGCATCTTGGTTTAAAGATGTTCAAGAAATATTTTGGGAAAGAACAGCCAGGCTTTACCTCTCTGATAACAAAAATTGGAGCCCTCTTGGGAAAAGGCTTAACTTTTTAAAATCTTAGCTAGTATATTGATCCAAATTGATGGAAGGTGTTTATCAAATGTAACTAAATGAATCAATATCAACTTGCTTCTATCGTTTTCTAATCTGATATTTACGTACTATATGTGATATATGTAAATTATGTCTATTTATATGTAAAATGCTAATATTGTATATGACATTATATGTATGTATAAACATGTATGTGTATGTATAGCCAGCCATGGTGGTCCGCTGATTAAGATTCAGTGCTCTCACTGCTGCAGTCGAGGCTCATTTCCAATCAGGGAACCACACCACCCATCTATCGAATGTCTTACTGTGGCAGCTGCACGTTGCTGTGATGCTGAAAGCTATACCACCAGGATATCAAATACCAGCTGGGTCACTCATGGTGGACAGGTTTTAGTGGAGCTTCCAGACTGACTCAGAAAAAGGACCTGGCCACCCACTTCCAAAAGCATTGGTCATGAAAACTCTATGAATGGCAGCAGAGCATTGCCTGATAGAGCAATGGAAGGTGAGAGGATGGCACAAAAAGACTGAGCAGGGTCCCGCTCTGCTATACACAGGCGTGCTAGGAGTCGGAATTGGCTCCACATCATTGACAAAAAATATATATCTATGTGTGTGTATCTGTCTATCTACCTATCTATCTATGCATTGATACTTTAAAAAACTTTTAAGATAATATTGATGTAATTATCACAACAGCTCTAAGAAGAAAGCAGGGCAAATTTTCTTATCTTCATTTTAAAGATAAAGAAAGAAATTTCACAGTTAAGAGGTTTTCCCAAAATCTATATAAATTCTAAATGGTGAGACTTGGTCTGAAACATTAACCTCTTCAAAATAACTACCTATCTTGTATTTGTAAAAGATAATGTCCCATGGTGGAAGAGAGATCACGGTTGTATGAGAGGGAACACTGTTCAAGTGCAGTAATTATTAAACATCTTTTAATAAAACATTCTAAGTTAACCAAAAGTCGTGAGATTTGCTTTTACCTATATATAAACATTTACTCATAACCTTAATAATTACCATTTAGATGCCTCCTAAAGGCATGCCATAATATTGACTACTTTAGAAAAAACAGCATATTGGTGTCAGAAACATATGAAATTGCTCAAAATCAACAGCCTAATGATTACAAAAGTGTACGCTGAATTTGTAATATCTAAATGAAGTAATAATTTTTCTGATTTTAGCAGGAAGAGAATAGAACTGAAATTAATTAAAAGTGCAAAACACTAAGAAATTAATGGAAACATTCTAATTTGATTTATAACATGTCAAAATTATGACTTTCTTTAGCATCTATGATGATAAAAACTTCAAAAGAAAAAAAACTGGGTAATCATTCCTCCACGGGATAACAATTAGCGTAATGTTGGCCATCTCTTTTCCATACTTACACTAGTCCTTCCATCTTAAAAAAAAAAGTTTATGGCTTTTGGATAATTGAGATTTTTAAATGCCCTATGAGTTCCAAAATCTAATTTTGGCTCAGTTTGCAAAGACCAAAAAAAGTCATTCAGTTTCCTAATTTTAAACCAAGCATCCTGATTTGAGGACGAGATCCCAGGAGGTTTGAGTCTAAATTAAACAGATCAGCAGTTGATCTTCACTTAATTTATTAAACAGTTTCACTTAGCAGTGCAGAGACTTGTGCTACTTCTGTAAGAATGTGGTCACCTGGAAGGATTCTGCTATTTGATCCAATTTATCTCTGTCCACCTCTACCGTTAAAAGTGCATTGCAAGGACCCAGAAATACCTATTTGTCACAAGCCCTCTGTTGAAGCAGGACATGACAAATCAATACAGATTTTACTGTTTTACAATTAATCTGCTGTGTAATCTACTGTACTGAAAATACGCTAGCTCCTTTTCCAATATAAAAGAAGCTTACTTGAGTGTCCGAAGCTTACTCAGTTTCCAGGTGAAACCGTTCCTGCATTCGACATGAGTTCCTCAATTCCTGCTCCTGTGGTCAGATAGGCGACCTGTGTTATACCCTCCACATTCTGGTGTGCTCAGAACCTCACACATTTCTGGTGAGCTGCTGAGATCAGGAAATTCACTTTTTTATTAAGCATGGGTGACTAATTAGAATATTAGGGCTCATTATATAAATAATACTTGCTTCTAACTTGTAAAACTTAAAACAAATACATATATTTAGTGACAAGATGATCCTCTGCCTCCCTCCCCCAGTGTGGGGGAAGGAAGGGTCTAGAAATGCTGTAAAAATGAGAGATGACTTTAGTTATGTTTGTGATATCCACATCAAAAAAGAAGATTTTGATATGCTACATAGTGTTTCTAGATTATGTATTTATTTATAAAGATAAATTATTTGATAAGGATAGTTGATAAATATCTAACTGGGCATTATTTCCTTCTCTTCTGAGGCTAGATTTGTTTTTAGCAGTGTTAAAATATTTTAAAAATGCTTTCATTTATTTTCTCATTAGAGTTCATTATTACTGCAGTAGAAATATACTTTATTTCTCAAAGTAACCCTGATTGTTCATATTAATATATTGCAGCTGTGTTCAGTCAATTTTATAGACTTGTCAAGTTGTAGAAATGACACATACCTCAGTTCTCAAGTGAATCATGTATATATAACTGATATTTTTGTTCTTAATAGAACCATGGACAACATCAAAATATAATTATTTAACTAATCAAACTATTGGTTTCTAAATATAGTAGCTGTTTTATTTGTTTTTAATTGCCTTCTATGTAAAAATACACAAGAAAACAGAATTTGAGAACAGAAATTTCAGGACAAGACACAGTCTGTTAATTTGTCAGTGATTATGAATTGTGATGGAATTAAATTTCAAAATAAAATTATTGGAGTACAAAATAAACTATCAATGATCTTTATGATTAAAAAATAAAAACAAAGTAAGGTCTTGCTTATGTTGTATAGAACATGGATTTCATAATATTGTTAATACTGGGCATACTTGTTCCTTGAAAAGATGATCAGGTCTTACCAGAACTTAAGTGAATGAATAAGATTTTTATTTCAGGCTTTAATGGAATTTGTGTAAAATTTTCTATCTTCTGTATTGTATACTTACCAAGCCTTCAATTTTATTGATTAGGCAGTTATGAAAGTTTATTTTTTTCCTACTTTAAAGAAGTTTAGAAATAAGTATTATCTATTGAACTGATAATCAGTCCAAAATAGGATATTTGTGAAAATTAGCCCACAAATTGTCAACTGTCTCATCCACTTTGCATTTGTAAAGAATATAAGCATTACTTATAAGTGATGCAATTCCTCTCACATTTCAAAATACGCCCTTATAATGGAGTTAGTAGAAAAAATGTATAACATGAAACACAAGTATCATCCAATAGTTTTGATTGCATTAAACACCAATGTTTTATGTCTTATATTAACATAACACCCAAGGCTATTCCCAATATTCTATTTGCTAAAATATTTTTCTCTACTCTAATTTTTGACATATAAAAGTCAGGTATAAAATAACTGGGGAAACATACTATATGGATTTTTAATTGGAAGTAAAATTAAGGACTTATTATTTCATGCCTAATCAGTTTATCTACCAAATGCCCACCCACCACATTCAGAGTTTTATGTCACATGTTACTTGCTCAGTAGCTTCAAAAATCGACTAGACATAAATTAGAATATTAATTAGTACCCAACAATGTGTCGAATTAGAAAGAATATATCCAGTTTAGTTGCAAAGAATTTGATTTTAATATGAAATAATGATACATTTAAAAATTATAATAAAACTCTCTGCTAAAATGTTTCTTAATGTGCTGTAACACCAGAGCCACCTTTATTTATTACAAATAATAAAACTTGATTAGTGCTAAACTAATCAAATTCAAATCAATTCAACTACATACATTTCAGTGAAATAGTGTTTAAGAAATGCAAAATAAACTAAAAAATGAAAAGTTCATTGCCTTAATCAAAAGCAGTGAGCTTTAAATTTCAACCAACCAGGCGACGTTTGTCATTTCCCAGTTGTGTTCTCAGTGGAAAGTTGCCAAGGACGTTTGACATCTCTTAAACTTGCTGTCTCATTTGTCCCCTTATGTTAATATGTTAAACTGTAGGACAGAAAGAAGAGGACAGCCACAGTTCTATTAAAATGCGTACTTCTAGGGCTGGCCCAGTGGCGTGGTGGCTAAATTCGCATGCTCCACTTCAGTAGCCCAGAGTTCACTGGTTCAGATCCCAGGCGCAGACCCATATACCACTGGTCAAGCCATGCTGTGGCAGCATCCCACATATAAAATGGAGGAAGATTGGCATGGATGTTAGCTCAGGGACAATCTTCCTCATGCAAAAAAATGAAAAGAGGAAGATTGGCAACAGATGTTAGCTCAGAGCCAATCTTCCTCACACACACACACACAAACATACTTCAGCATTCGTAAATACCATACATGGTGTAAAAGGATCCTTAATTCCAGAAGGAAATGTGTACTCTCTCTCATTTCCTTAGTGCTTGGTTTTTTTCTTTCTGTTTCCTGTGTCTAATGGTGCCCAACTAATTTGGAACAATAAGGGATCCTATTAGTTAATTGTCCCAGGGTTGGAGACATCAGGGCTCTTATATTAGAATGAAAAACAGTGAATGAATACAAGACTGCAGTATCTAAATAACTACAAAAGCCAAAAATCATTTTTTTGTCATAAATTCAAAAATGGTGATTGCAATGAAAATATTTTTTCAGTAATTTTACAAAGTTTCTACCAAAGGAAGGGTGTTGAATTAATACATTCAGGCAACTAGTGCTTTCTGCTGCGTCCTATATAAGGAAAGTGGAAATATCGGTAGGTGTGGAGTTAGAAGTTAAGGAAGCATTTGAAACAGAACCTGAGCCTTTCTAGTGTAATAAACCAAGTCTGCCCTTTTGACTTGGTCTGACTGGTCGTATCTATTCTGACCCTATCTTGATCTTCAATTTCAAGGCAGCAAGGCTCCAGCTACAAAGATCATTTCCTTCCAAGTATTTGGTTTTTCTGTCTTCCTTACAGGAAAGTAGAAGATGTTTGGATATCAGTGTATGTTCTATATCCCTTAGTTGATGGTTTCAGCTACTGTAAGGATCCTGGGAATTTTTAATAATAGTTGAGGTCCCATTAAACTTAGTTCTCAAGTAGCTTCTTAGAGTTCATTCATCAAATAATTCAGGGTGTAAAAGTAGCACATAAACATTAATTGAACAACCATTAAGCAGGATGCCTGTTTGGTTTTGGCTGATGGAGGACGTAAAGCTTTGTACCCTGTGGTGGAAAACAATTAGGTCTGATGAGGAACATGCCATTAAGTATCCTACTACCAGACTTAGACCGGTTATGCTTTACAAAATCACAGCCAGCTGTAGTCAGAAGCCTGTCCGAGTTACAGGAAGTCATATTTTTACTGTCGTGGCTTAGCTGCTTATAAATATTGTAGTGTGCCTTGCGCCTTATGCTAATGGAAATGACTAATGGTTGTCATTATCTTCATTCAATCTCATAAAAAACTTCCTCAGGAGAGAACTGATCATAGGTTGAATGCTACTTAAACTTAAACTGTTTCTCTAAAACACAGAATATAAAAAGCACTTAAGTACAAGAGGTTGGATGGATAATTTATTTTGTTTTGAGTATGTTTGATGACTATTACTGTTGTTAAATTTGGCATGAACCGAATTGATACCCATATACGAGTGCCTTATAGATACCTATATGTATGGCTGCATAATGCTTTACATTTGTTCTGCTCATCTGGGACTGTAGGTGAAGATGTATGATAGAAAAACCAAAAGCTGGAATAAATCTGACAAAGACTGTGTGGAGGTTCGATGTTTTTAACAATGAAGGTGAGTCCCCTCATCGACTTGTGATTTCACTTATGCACTCTGCTTACAAGACAGATACAGAATACTACATTATGGGGCCAAAAAGAAATGCTTAAGTGGATGGAGCAGCTCTTTGCATCTAATAGAAGTTAAGTGCAACATTAAATTAATGTCAGGAAAGTGAGAGTTTTATTCTACGTTGTAGCAGCCTGGCAGTAATGTATTGACTCTCATATGCACACGATTTTCACATCTTCTATCACCAGACCTTGAGGTTACGCATTTCTATCACAGAGTAAAAACCAAAACAGAAATCAAATAATAAGGAAATATATTTAAGAGAATGTGATAAATATTCACACTGTTTCTGATAGTAAGATGAGTGGGACAGAAAGTTCTGGAGGAGAGGAAATGTCACCCACTGTATATAATGGATCTTCATGGAGCCTTTGTCCAAAAAGTTACAGTAGTCATCCTTCCCAGTATCACCTTTTCGTATAGAGAGAAAGTTCAATTTTATTGGCGAGAGGGTCAATATAGAGAGGGCTTCCACTAAATGTAGAATGAAGTGGGGCAGAACGGACCAGAGTGGAGCAGAACACGATAGACTAGGACCATGATTATTTGTTCTCTCCTAAAATTCTAATTTGTCCTAACCAAAAGGAGAAGTAAATGTATGGCTGGATGGGGGATCAGTGACACAGATGATTCAAAAGAGAAGTTTCTGTTTTCTTCTTTATACACACTTTTATTGGAAAAGAACTTATTTAGAGAGTATAAATTGCAGTGTATATATTTGTTTAATGAAACAGGAAATTTTATAAGAGGTTTCAGAAAGTTTCTTTTGCAAGTATTTAGAATAAAATTTTTTTAAAAAATGAAAGTGCATCTCTCATGACATGACTTTCAGAGAGACCTTAGGAAAGACTTTAGCTAACTTATAAATACAATAGAAAGACCACGCCTCCTTCTATTTTGTCTCAGAGGAGTCTGGAAGAAGGCAGTACCATACTTTTGTGCTCATCTTGAATCTGACCCATACACAACAAGTAAATTCTTCTGCACAGGACACCTCTCCCCAAGGAATCTGCCTTCAGCTAAAAATGTATTGCAGAAAAGGCGACCATACGCCCCAGGTTACACCTGTTGTCCCAGTGTGATTATTATTATAGCACCACCTTTCAATCTCAGACATGTCCCAGGATGGATGACAAATTATGGCACCCTTATCTATGAATAATAACAAAATGTTAAAAATAATAAAATAAGCTTTATTGCAAGCTTGCTATTTGTCAGAGCCTTTGAAATGCTTTCATGTATAATGAATTCTTCACAATCACCCAATGAGGGGGGTATTTTATTGCCCCCCCTTTCACAGTTGAGGAAACAGAGATAGAGAGGTTGATTAGCACGACCTCTTCTCACAGTTGACAACCTGCAACCAGACACAACCAGACAACATAGGCCAGAAGATGATACACTATGTTCCTTTCTGCTGATCGATATGATTAGCTTGGTTTTACTTAATACATTTGAAGATTATCAATAGTTCTAATTTGTTATTCTTCCTAGCTGTTATGACTATATTTTTATAAGGACTGTGCGTTTTAAGAGGCAGGAAAGGAGCACTAATCTGATCTCAAAGTCAGCTGGGTTGCAGTTCAGGTTATTACCATTATTATATTAATGATAGCAACAATGACTTGTAAAGTGATTAGTTTATGGCAGGCACCATATTTAGGGTTTTTCCTGTGTTCTCTCACTGACCCTGAAAACAGCTCTGCGAGGCAGAACATTTGAAGCCCACTAATGTATCTGAATGGCTTTAGCTATAAGCCCTCAACTGGTTCAGAGGTTAGAAATGAAAACTAGAGGATTAACTCATTTCAGCAGGCCCTGCCAATGCTGACACTCTGTGACTAGAATAGATGCCTCTGGGGGTAAGTGATTATCAGGATGTAAGGCATAAAATCTGGATGCTGCCAAAAATACACAGGGACAAAGAGGCTTCCCTAACATCTCATATTTGTATTAGCTGTCATGCACTGAGTGCTTACCAAGGGCATGTGCTTTACTAACTTTGATCTTTTCTATTGTTATTCTCCTCACCATAGGCCAACTAAGAAGAGAATTTGGATCCAAACCAACAGCGTAAGTTTAACCCCACTATGCTAAAGATAGTATCCTCTCTGGAACTCTCTAGGGACTGCCCTAATTTAGCAACCTTTCTGAAAAGCAATATTAAATAGAAATTAATAAATATTTGCTCATGACCACATTTGTTCCATCACTGTATAAAGAATGGGAATAGAAAAACAGATATCATAGTATTATATATAAGTTGTCGAAAGGATTTCTTGGCATTTTTTCATACAAGAAGTGTGGAAATTCTTACTAGAGCAGAGTAAGTTCTGTGCCCTGCAGAGAACAAAGTAAATATGTCTGTGCCTACACCCGAAAGATGATTACAGTTCATTAGAGGATGTAAGAATATCAGTGCACAAATATAGATTATGTGCTATCATAAAATGCCAAATCTTACAGTGTAATTTGAACAATGCTTAACCTGGAGTGCATTACATATGGAGTATTTTTAAAATGTAGATGCTAGGACTATAATTACATTGACTGAATAAGTTTCTAAGGTTGGAGCCTGGAAATGTGTATTTTTTAAACTCCACAGGTGATTCTGAAGTGCCTTATGAATAACCACCACTGGATAAAAATATATGTGGAATATATTAATATGTTAATTATGCAGACTGAAAAAGAAGAGGTTAATTTGGGTTGGGATTTAAAAAGATGACTTCATAGAAGAAATGAGATTTGAATGAAAGGTCAAAATGGACAGAAGGTAGGTGAAACAGAACTTTTTCTTTTACATTTTAGCTCAAAATAAAATCTTGCCTTTAGAGACTTTTTTCCTGCATTTCAGATTGCTAACTGAATTGATCTAGAATAGATAATAAAAGTTATAACAATAAATACCTGGAAATGTTCAAGTATCTTATAATATATCTATGACATGGCTACATAAAACTCAGGTTTAAAGTCTTGCTTGAAAGTTTGTATATTATTATAGATGAACATTAATATTGGTAATAAAGAAATTTTATCACAATTAGTAAATGTAATTAAGATTGCAAACTGCCATGGACAGGATCTGTATTTTATTCAAATTTGGGTTCTTAGATCTTTAGCATAGGGATTGGTATCTAGAATATGCATAACACATTTGTTTGTTGAATGAACGAGACATTTGGATTTTCTTGGTTTATTCATTCCATCTTGTTTGTTGGGTGGATTTCAGTGGTCTCCATTTGGAGGATCCAGTATTTTACACATGGAGGTTTTGGTTTGTTTGTTTGTTTCTTGTCCAGAACCAACGAGCGGTCAGACTGTCAACAATCATTAGCTTGTAAGAGTAAGCTTTTAGGCTTTTTCCTTCCCAATGAAAAGACTGAAGGGAAAGAAGAAGAGTGGAAAAGGCAAAGAAGTTGCAATCATCTTAGCAGCAGGGAATTCTCCATCCATGTTGATGCCCAGAACAGCTGGCAAACCCCTTCTCAGACCAGCCTCTCCAGAGGGAGGAGCAGGCAGAGTCACCAGACCCCTCCATGGGGAGGAGCATGGCTGTCCTAGCCCCTTCCACTGACCTGCTTTTTTGTAGAACAGGATTGTCGTGTCATTGTTTTGGTTTCGGTTGTTAATAGAGTTTTAGAGTTTAGAGTTACTAGACAACCACCAAGATCACTCAAATTCTTCATCTTACTGCATTGTATCCCCCTGGTGCCAGTCAAGCCAAGCTTTCTTAGCATTTTGTTGTTACTGTTGTGAAAAAAAATGTCAGGAGATATTCATAGCTCCCCAGTGGAATTTTATACTACTTTTGGAAACAGTTTTGTAGGGGGTACAAATAATGGGAAGAAGAAAGAAGGAGCAGAGAACAAAACACAGATGTGAAAGAGTACAGTGAGCCAACGACAGAGAGCTTTGATCTTATTTTTCATCTATGTGTTTTGCAGCATAAAGGGGAAAGTGGAAGGCATCATATAGTGTTCAGTTTTAGACATGTATTTCTAAAACATTTTTCGGGGGAGACAGCTTTGATAGTAAAGACAGACACTTAGGTTGGTGTCAGAGAAGGGACGAGTAGGAACCAGAAGAAGGAGCCTGGGCAGAAGCAACTGTCACAGTACAGCTTGCTGTGAGCTCAGCCTTGGTGCCACTCAAGAGAAGTCCTGGTTGCCCTCCCATTTATTGCTTACTCTTCAGTTCACATGGCTCTAGGCTAGAGGAGCTTAAACAAATGGCCATTCTTCTCTAAAAGACCATTGAATGAACTCTTGAGGTGACTATATTCTGTAAGAGACACATGGAATTCTTGGTTGGACCAAACCCAAGACTTCCACATTGCTAATTGGAGTCTTCATAACCATACTGGCTGCAAAATAACCTAAGGAACTGTGGCTTGGAAAATGTCTAGTACCTGGCTCAAGGCATATATCTACTGGCCATCGTATGAGTGGTTGCACTTTCTCGGCCTCCCCTCTGCCTTTTCCAGCTGCTACATGATTGCCTCATCCCAGGCAAGCCTAATTATCATCATTGAAAAAGGCACCAAAAATAAACATGATTACATTATTCTTTGTAAGCAGTGATTGAACAAGAACATATCTAAAACAGTTTAATTCACAGTGAGTTGCATAAAACAGCTGAAAATAAAATGAATTCATGTTTTAAGAATATTTCAAGAGTGGATCATCACATCCATGGCATGCATGTCATCTTGAGCACCATTAGTAATTTTAATCAGCCAGTGGTGTGCTGGAGCCACAAGCTCATGAGATGCGAGTATATGCATCCCTTCTCAACTAGGCTTCAGTGACTTCACTTTTGTAGCTTAAAGTGGACCGTGGTGGGACTGCTTATACCACTGAAATTGGCAAATGCTGTGTCTTAGTCTGTTCAAGCTGTCATAAAATCCTGCAGATTGAGTGGCTCATAAACAACAGAAATTTATTTCTCACAGTTCTGGAGGCTGGAAGTCTGAGATCAGGCTGTGGCCAGGTGAGGGCCCTCTTCCACGTCATAGACTTCTTGGATCCTCACGTGGTAAAAGTCACGAGGGAGCTCTGTGGGATCTCTTCTGTAAGAGCACCAATCCCATTCAAGAGGGTACCATGTTCATGACCAAATCACCTCCCAAAGGCCCCACCTTCCAACACTATTGTATTGGGTGTTAGAATTCCAATACGTAAATTTGGGGGTCAAGGAGGACCATAGAAAACATTCAGACCATAGCACACTACAAATCAGGGCTTTTTTCTTTCTTTCTTTTGCAGAGAGCCAGTGAGCCAGTTTACCAGCACACCACTGAGTTACATGCACGTTGTAGAGGAAGAGACACCATATAAATATATATCTCTGTAATTAAGAATTTTGCTTGCTGGGTAAATATTAAGAAAACATTGCTTAAGAGAGACAGTGTTTTGTTAGACTGCCAAGGCCCTTATCTTTTATTAGCTATCAATGAGCCTCCCTGTGTCTTAGTCTCTACGTTCTTAAAATAAGAACATACCTACTTCATAGGATGGTTCTGATGATGAAATGGTGCGATATATGTGATGTACTTTAAAAGTGCCAGGCACAAAGAAGGTACTCGATAAGTATTTCTATTAGTATCAACAGGAGAGGAGACTAGATGGTCTTTTACTCTTCTCCTAAAAAACTGCCTAATTTCAGTGTTATTTTCCTTGTTGAGCTTTTATGTATTTTAGAAGCTCATACCCAACTTCCACAAGTTTTGTGAAGATCCGTTGAATGAAAGCACATCAAATCACTTTGAAATGCATGAAGCACTGTGTAAATGAAAGGTGGGATAATTATGTTAAACACATCATCTTGAATTTTGTTTATACTGCATCTTTGAAATGAGCATCAGATTTTTCTCTAGGCAGTTACTGCTCCCACAGAAACAAACACAGATGGTGCCCAAACCTCCTACTGAATAGTTTTAGGCAATGGCATTTATCAAAATACTGCAGGTCACTAAATGCACAGACTCAAAACCAACGGCACATCTCAGTGTCAGGCCAGCATGGTAATTTAGGCAAATAAGCCTTTGTTTGATGATTCAAGGATTTTCTGATTCATAGAATGCACTAGCACAACAAACAGAAAATCTTACATGTCGGCTAAGTTTTACAAAATAGGATATTAAAATGCAGTTTCTTTTAGAGAAAAAAAATCAGCCTGTCTTTTCGAGGAGTGTTTGTAGCCAAATGAAAGCTAATTTTTGGGGTGTGCATGCAGATGTTCCCATTTTACGTTGACCTTCTAGCCAAGCAAAGCAGAGAAAAGGGAAACGCATTCCAAAGATATTTTTTTTACACTCAAACTTTCTAAGAACTCAGTCTTTGGAGTGCAGGCATCCTCTTTTCAGCAAGGTCATCCTGAGATTTCGGTAACTTAACTCTCTTAATTGAGTCTGGGGCCGGCGGCCTTGGGTCCGTTCCTTGCCCTCCATGCTGGGGAGGGAAATCTGAGGCCTGCAGCCTCCTTTTCCAGGAACCTGTCTGAGCTGACTTACAGCTGGCTTCTGGCAGCGGGGCTTGCGGGTGAGGACAATGGTGGGAGACAGGAGGCTAGGAAGAAGGAAGGAGCCAGGGTATTTCTCCTGACATCAGTTTGTCTCCTGCACCTTCTCAGGCAGCAGCTATGTCTCTTCCTTGCTCCACTTCCAACCACTGCAGCCTGCCACGGTCCCCGTTCTCACCAGGTAACCCAAGGCTCCTGTGTTGTAACAACACTTCCTCATCCTTGTGTCCCTGCTGCCTGGGATTGGTTCTGGCTTGCTCCTTTTGCCAGTTTCTGGGTTACCTCCCTTTTCTCTAGTTGGCCTCGTTTGTCTCTTTCATCACTTGTTCATGCTTTAATCAATTCCCTGCATGAGAGTCTGTCATTCAAATATCCCAGGTGAATCCTGTTTTCCTTGATTGGACCCTGACTGCTTATAGAATTCTTGGGCAGGTAACACTGTTGGAAGTGCAGTCCTCTGTACCCAGCACAAAGATCTCAGGGGCCCTCCTGGAGCATGAACTCCTGCCATCACTGTTCCCTTTGCTCCTCTTCTCCCTTAGTTGCATGACGACTCTACCTTGAGCCTGCTCTGGGCCAGGTCCCTGAGATGGAAGCAGAGAAAAAGTATTCAAAAGACTCTCAGCCATTACACTGTTAGCCTAGCCTGTCTCCCTTCTTCAGGCCACTCCCCTCAAATTCAGTTACAGGTAATTTTTCTGTGAAATGTTAGGTCCCTTCCTAGGAAGTCGCAAGGGATGAGAGAGTCTCCAGATTATTTCCACATTGTGAATAATAGGATTGGAATATGGATCCGTGAGCTGTTACCATTCTGCAATTATATCCCTTCTACTTTCTTTCCAAAGAGGTAAATTTTGGGCCACAAAACACCTCCATATCTTAAAATTGTTTTAGAGAGTTTAAATTAGATCTATAAATGTACCCTCAACCCAAAAGTACCAACCTAGGGTTGGACATCCCATGCACTTATTAAACCTATTTTGAACTTTGAACACTGAAACATACATTAATGCTGTTTCTGAAAATACCATTTTATAAAGGTTTGCACATTTTCCCCTATAGCCCATCCTGTTGCATTGCCCACCGTGCTACCCCTTCCTGAAATGATCTTTTTCCTTCTGTTTTCTTTTGTTCAGCTACGAATTCTCCATCAAATAACCACCTCTCCAGGAGTGTCCTCTGAACTTTTCTACTCATTTTTGGGTCAATATCGCTTCATGCCCTGTTCGTGTCCCAGTATTTCATTGTGTGAAATATATTTATGTCTCTGTCTCGAGTTAGACTTTGGCTCTATAATGGAAGGACTGTGTTGCATCTTTGTAGTCCTAGTGCTCCATAACTTCCTCGGCACTTAGGAATTATTCAAGATATATTTGTTGAACTGTTTTTGAACACCCTGAAAGTTCCAAGGCCTCCCATGCTGGACAAAAATTAGCATTAGGATCTTGGAATGGAAGGTTTGGTTTGGTTTCTTTGTACTAGGAACATTTTAGTAACAGACACAGGTATTTCACAAAATGCCTAGGCTTGTGCCCGCATGTAGAAGTACTTAGTTTTGTTGAACAACATTGATAAATAGGGAAATAGGCACACAAGAGGAACAGTAGCGCTTAAACAAGTTTAGGACAAAGCATCTCAAATCTTTGCCTTGTTTTTGTTCTCCTTCACTAGAAGTTGCATCCTGTCTCCGTGCTTGTCTTCCTAAATTTAAGCCCTTATTTTCAGCATCCATCTAAATATATTCTCACTGCCTCCACCATCAATTAAGTAAATGCCATGTCTCTCACTCATTTCCTTTGAAAAGGATGAGCTCAACCGTGCTCTGTTTATTCCATTTATAATGGCTCTCTTTGCACATTTTGGTCCATTGCCTCCGGTGTCATTTCTCATGCATCTGTTTTTTCTACCCAATTAGACTCAGAGCTTGGCGGTCAGAGGTACTTTTTCTTTTATGTCTCCTCACAGCATGTTCACAACATAGGTTTGTGAACTAAATGTCTTCTAGATTTCACCAGTATCCATGCTAGTATTTTTAGTTCCTTGTCAAATGAACACGTTGGAGTGCTCACTCTGGGGCTGGACTCATGGGCGTTTGGGCACCCAGACAGGACGCAGCTCCTTGATTCCTCTCAGAAGGTCTGTGGGCTAGGCTGGGCAGTACAGGGACTTCAAGACCACTTTGCCACTTTTCTTTAAAGCCAGGAATATCCCTAAGCTGCCTGTCCCCAGGAACTCAATATGGCCCTTCTAGTGGTTCCTACCCTTGATGTCACTGAACCTGTTCAGTTCCTTAATATGATAATTTGTAACCATATACCTATATAGAGTATGTGTAAAATAGCCACATGAAGTAAATAAAGAAGTTAAATTTATATAAATATGTAAAATATGTAGGAGATATAAAGTATATGCATGTATGTGTGTAAGTAATGTATACAAAAGACACCCATAGGTGCGATTGTACATATATGTGTATTTTATGTTTTCATTTTCTCTTCCCCCCCACACAGATTTTCTTCACCACTTAACACTCAGGCCTAATACAGAGCCTGGCACATTGTAGGTACTCATAAATATTTGTTGAATAAATAATATATGAATGAATGAAACTATGAGAGCAAAGAATTCTTTCCAGTCTTAGTCACATCAGGTGTTATGTTTACTGATCAAAGAGTGAAATGAGGAGAGAACTAGAAGCATAAAAAGAAAGGAGTCAATGTTTCTCCCTCTGCCCCAAAACTGCATAGATTTATAATCTAACTCCTCCCAGAAAGAGGCTCCCAGACCTCTCAGTTTGTTTTCACCTGGAGAGGGGAAAGAGGAGACAAGACAGACTCTGTGGTCCTCTGTGTGTGCTACCCACTAAGAAAACCTACTGACATTTTAGCAAAAGCTAATAATTTCCAAGTAATGTGGCACAAAATGAATGGGACATTCCTACATTATCTGTTCCAAACTTCTATCTTTTCTCTATGAGCACAATCCTGATATCTTTAGAATATATCTATGGTATGTGCACGCCTTTTCTCCTAAAAACAATTCTGATGACTAAAAAGAAAGAGTGGGAGATGATCACAGGAGGGGGCAGCGGAGAGCACTGGTTGATAACAAAGGCCGTGAGCCAGACTGCCTGTTTCAGGTCCTGGCTCCACTGTTTTCTGGCTGTGGGATTGTAGGCAGGTTGTGTGACCTTGCTCTGGTTGTTTCCTCATTTGTAAACTGGCAATAATAATAGTATCTAAATCACAGAGCTTCTTATTAGGATTGAATAAGTTAGAACATGTAAAGCCTCTGGAATAAAATCTGGCACATATTAACACTCCATAAATGTTCACTGATTGTACTCTTTGCATTGTTATTTTTGCCACCATCTCCAAATGAAGGCAGGTTTACTGCTGACACAGGACGGACAAATTTCCGTTAAGACTGATCAAGGAAAAGAACAAGAGATGCACACATAAATAGTTGTAAGTCTGAAAAAGGAATATAGTCAGAGATGCATGAGAAATGTAAAAAGGCACAGTAGAAAGTCAGAATTCTAAGACTGTGTTATGTCTTCTTGATAAATTTTTTCTTTAATTCTTACCCCTATTAGAAAATGTTCCTTCATATATCTTTTAAATGACGAAGATTACTCTTATTTCATCTTCTTTGGTCTAAAAAATTTGGAGAACAGCTGATTAAAATCGACTTTTTAATAACCCACAGCCTTGCTGAGGAATCACAAGTGATGTAACTCAATGATTTTCCACCTGTTCACTCAAAGGCTGTTCATATTCCCCATATTGTTTGAGATCCTTTATGTCATCAAGAAAGCCACTGTTAAATTTTCCGTGTTGTTCACTATGTAACATCATACAATAATATCTTTAGCCCTTAAAAAAAGAGAGAAGAAAACGTTCCCCACCTGGCTGCACCCTTCCCGCTATTTGCTCTTTTTGAATGTATGTATGTATTTCGTCTAACAAATATTTATTTAGTTTCTATTATGTGCCCAAAAAGCAGTCAGCAAGACAGGCAAAGTCTCTGTTTTCATGAAGCCTGGAGTCTAGAGAGGGTTTGGAGGGATAAACAAAACACAGAATATCTCAGTTATGAATTGAGATCGT